TTACCTAAGGAAGTAAAGGGAGTATACTTGTAACCTTATTAATTAAACTTCTGTCCCTCCTTAGACCTGCCTCACCTCTGGCTCTGCTCAAAGAAACACCCTTTAGAAGCAGGACGGGCAGGCAACTCACTTTCTGGGCCTCCTTCAGCCCCTCAGACAGGAGCTTTCTTTCTCTCAATAAATTCTTCCTATTCTTAACCTCCACTGTACCTAAAATTCATTCCTCCATTTTAGAGAACACAAACTACATTTTACACATCTAGCAGATTTGGAGTTATATTTCCCTTGGATTATTTGGCCGTCCTAAATCTTACGCCCTGTATCAACCTCAACCGGTTTCTTAGTGTATTAAAGGAAAAATAGTACAAATTCTGCATTGGAGGCAAAACCTAGCCACAACTTCTAGAGTGACAGAAGATAATGCCCCTTCAGCACAAAAGGATTTATGATAGTTTTACTCTCAATCAGGCACTCAGTAGGACAAGTGAACTGACACTCATTTCCATACACCTATACAATAAAGAGGGATCCAGTGACAAGTCTATTTATAGTAATGTATACACCACACACATTAAGTACCAAAATGTCCATAAAATTATTGTATTTCCAACACTAATTCTATCACCCAGAAAAAGGCAAAACATCCTTTAGAACCAACCCGCCAGCAGGGTGCTGGCTGTGAGGAATGGGACAAAAAGAAGCCAGTACCTGAGGACACTGGCCAGAGGGAACAGTGCCAGCTACTGCACCACAAAGCCTCAGTTTGGTGGCCTGGGCATGTCCCCTACCAGCCAAAACAGGTGCAGGGGTGCCAGTCCGCTGCCTCCCAAATGGCCCCACACCAGGAGGTTGTGTGTTCTGCCTGAGGTGCTGCTGTTTGTACTATAGCAACCGCACATTAGTGCTTTGTATCCTCCTTGTGCTCAGGGTGTCCAGCTGCTAGCTGCAATGGGCCCCACACAGACCACCTGCCCTGGCCTTCCTGTGCTCCTGGACCCCTAGAGTTTGCACTGACTACATCCCCTCCTACAACCAGGACCCCTCCAGCTCTGGTGAAGGAAGAGTAGTCTTTACCAAGCCAGCCCAGGCCAGCAAGACCAGACCTGAGAGGAACAGGGTCCTGACAAAAGGGGACTCAGTGGATGAGGGCCCTGTAGAGCAGAGCCACACAGCAGGGCACAGAAAGCCAGAGGCTGAGGAATGGAGCAGTCACCAGGAGATGCAAGAGGTAGTGACGCCTTCAGGGGCTGCACACACACAGTCTTCACCAGGACCCCTGGTCAGAGATAGTTGGTTGCTACGTCAGCAAGAACCAAAGCAGACAACACTTCTGAACAGGGACAGCAGCCTCAAGGCTCTCCAATCTGAGACGGAACACCCAGCCTGACCAGCACACCAGGCTGCAGCCAGAGCTGGCCAGCCACTCCAATGGAATGGCAAGAGGACCGTCCCCTTAAGAAGGACGCCAGGGGGCATCAATAGCTCTGGCCATGCACATCAAAGGACAGGCCTTGCCTAGACCTGGAGGAAGGGTGGGTCTGGGGGTGGTCAGGGACACCAGGAGCTCTGGTTCTCTGATGTCCAGTAGGGAAGAGAAAAAGATTTACGGT